CTACCTTAGCACGTGCTACTCATTGGTATACTCTCTCTTCCTCTGTGCAGCTAACACCTTTTCGCAGCTTTAAGGCTACCTCCCCAGAACCCCTGTCTGACCGTATTTAAAGTGGGTATTTCTTATTTGCTTTTTTTATGTCTCAGCAGCTTCTTTCCTCCAATGCACTTACCACATGTGCTATTATTTTCATTTATTTGTTCCCCGCCAAGAATGTAAGTTCTATTGAAGGTAGGGGGTACAGAGTCTCATTCCCATTTTATCCTTGCATCTGTCACAGCAGGCACTCAATAACTGGTGAGTATGAATGAGCCTATTGTCCAATTTTTCATATATTTTCTCATTTACTCTTCTCCATAACCAAAACATTTATTATCCCCATTTTAAAGATGAGGTGACTCAGAGTGAGAAATATTAAGGCAGTATAGAAATGGCTGCTGAGTACAGAAACTGGATTCACATGCAGGTTGGTACTGAAATGCCTGTGCTGCTTCTACCACACCACAGTGCTCCACCCATCTCACATCCCAATACCTGGGTTCAACTCTCTGTCTCTTCCCAGTTTCCTACCCCCTCTGCCGCAAGTCACAAGGGCTTCCTACCACAGGCTTCAAGGCTCTCAAGGTGCGGATAATAAGAGCAGTGGTCCTACATGTTGCAATTTTGCCTCCCAGGGAACACTGACCAATATCTGGAGACCTTCTGTTTGTTACTACTGGGGAGGTGCTACTGGTATCTAGTAGGTAGAGGCAGGGATGCTGCTAAACATCCTGCAATGCACAGGATAGCCCCCACCACAAAAAATTATCTGACCCAAAATATCATAATGCTGAGGTTGTGAAGACCTACCAATAAAGAACCAGGTTAGAGCAGGAGTGCAGGGGCCACTGACCACGGGAACCAGGCAGGTGATATAAATGAGTCAAACAGGACTAATGTCATTTTATCATCTATATTTTCCATACTCAGGTTACCTTATTTTATTGTTTGGAAATGACATCTTCTGTTATAATCTTTCACCACAGACACGCTTTGTTGCATGTTTACCATGTATATTTTTCACTTCCACAAAGGAAAGCACTCTTTCCATTTTCTCTTGAAACATAAGAGCCTCCTCCAGCTATCCTTTGTCTTTCATCTTTTAATAAGGGACATGGATACAAAAAATGTCATTTTTAAAATAACTGCCATATCAGATGATAAATATGACAACTCTAGCTTGGGGAAAACAACAGAGACTAGGGGAACTGTGGCAAATTGGACTGTCCATGTCCATTTTAAAGGGGACTGGAATTTACACAGTTTCAGCAAATTGCTGCCATATAGGAACATCAACTCAGTGATGCCAGACATTCTGTTTCTAAAGAGAAGCAGGACATTAAACTGTAAAAACTGATGCTTCCCTCCACCACCACCACTACTGCCACTACCATCCCCATCCCACATTCCGATTTAAATGGTCTGATATGTGGCTTGGATATCAGGATGTTTTACAGTTTTCAAGTGACTCTTGTATACAACTAAGATTGTGAAGCACTGGTTTAGTCCAGGTCTCTAATTTTACATGTGCACAAACTGAGGCTCAGAAAGCTAAATCCTTTGCTCAGGCACCCAGCTAGTTTGAAACAAGCATAGCATCAGAAAACAGTTCTTGTAAGGCAGTGGTTTCATAACACTGGATTAAAGTGTTATGGGTCAGAACACAGGATTGTAAAATCAACTTAATTGTTTATAAAGAACAATTGTTTTTAAAGGATAGAATAGAAAATCAGAGTGTACCGCACATTATAGAGGTAAATTTTGTTACATGAACCTTTTGTTTTTATATATATGTTAGTCTCCATTTACCTCTCCAAATCCATTCTCTTCCTTCTCGTTCTCAGCCCCAGGAGACTGACCCTACAGAGAGATTCAGCTGCTCCCTTGCCTAAGGGTTTCCAGTAGGTTCGTTCTGAGAAGCACTAAAGGGAGCTCAAAGGGTAGGAGAAGAGTGCTTCTTTCAGGTCACACTTCCTGGGTGCCCTTGCTCCCCACAGCATAGCTCTCTGGCGTATCATTACCCCCTGATAAAGCTCCCCTTCAGGCCCAGAGGTACACCTTCCCATTGTTGACAGTCCTTGGGTGATGATTTAATATCCTTTGTGGGTTCCTTAAACCTACTCATGCTTCTGAAAGTAGCCCATTTATTAAATCTGTTTCCTGGCAGAACACTGATGTACATAAGTAGATAACAGACACACAGACATATGCATATAAGTATTGAATTGCATTTTCAGTATTGTGAGCAGGTTTACTGTAAAATGTATTGTTTATAACGCAGGCTGTGACCAAAAAAGTTTGAGAAACACTGTCAAGGTTCTTACTACACTGCTGCCTCCTCTGGCTGATACAGGGAGCTATTGGGTTGAAACTTCCAAAAATAAGCATTTCAAGAACCCCTCTTTGCAAATGTTAACATTAAATTAAGTAAATAATGTCCGAAAAGAAGAAAACATATAAATTAAAGGAGACCTTATCTTAACAATGCTTACTTAACACTGTCCAACAAAGGAAAGGGCCACCTTGGTAGGCAGTAAGTTCCTTAGCACTCAGCACATGAAGACAGCCCTAGTTAGTTTCTAATTTTCTAACTTAAAATTCTTAAAATGTGCATTCCCATAATATCATGGAGCTTCAAGTTAAAAAATGTCTTCCTAAATAGAAATGAATCCATTCTTATCTAGCTTAGTATTTGTTGTTGTACTTGATCTTTTTTTTTTTTTAATCAGTTACAAATTAACTCTTGATGAAGAAAAGAATATGCAGTTCCTCTCAATGTGGAAACCAAAGAGCTATTTTAAAGTCCCACACTAAAGCACTGTACTGTGTCAGCTCAACACACATTCTGTGAAGGAGAAGAGGAAGAAATGAGGCAGCTTTCAAAAATGTTTAAACTCTGTTCCTATCTGCAGGATTTGAGTGGCTTATTGATACTTTGGCAGGGCATGATCATGGAGATGAAATAGGTCTGATATTCACCTATGAGGGTACAAAGACTGAGAAAGAACTAGACACCCCAGGTCCAATCATTCAGCAGAACCATCTCTCAAGGTGTGGCTTCATGTAGATGGTTAACAAGGACAGAGAGTCTCAACTTTAGTCTGTTCATCCAGCCTCCATACATCTGATGTCTACTGTCCAAGATACATCCAAGAATATGGTGTGCCACATTCACTGAACCCCATTCAGTGCTCAAAGGGGCAAGGCAAACAAAGTACTGCACTGTTACACTAATACAAAACTGCTTTTAGGTATGAGCTAAATCCAAATATAAGTCATCCAATATAAAAAGATTCAAAGGAAATGCAATTATAAAAGAAAGAAAATATGCAGAAAAATGGCAGTAGATGGTATATTATTCTAAGATTTGTTATTGTAACCTACCTGAAGAAGCAATCCCATTCTATATTTTACTATAAAGTGGTGAATGTTTATGCTAGCCATTTAATAAAAATGCAACTTCATTCTGTCACCAGATCTCAAATCAGTATTATGCATTTGCTTTTATTATAGCAACTACAACTTATCAAATGCTTTAAACACAAAAGTACCTTCCCATGTATCACCTACCCCTTTCAGTTACCCTCCTGAGGATGACCCTGTGGAGTAAATCTGGCATGTGATAATCCCACCTAGCAGAGAAGGAAAGACTCACAGAGGAAGTAACTTGAAACAAATCAAACTGAACCACGCTGTACTGTGGATCATGAAGGCTCTGCCTCATCCACTGTATCATGCTGCCTCCCCAAGGTGAACTTATCTAACCTGCACACTAGCCAGGTTTTTCAGCTCGTTACTGGAAAAAAAAAAAAAAGAGAGAGAATGTGCTAAAAAACTGAATTTTTCTAGGCTTGAATCTACTATAGAAAAAAAGTACCCTAATAACAACCTCCCTGAGCCCACTGGCACACACATACTCTGGCTTTTTATCACCAAGTACCTTCTAGCGGTGGCTGTTACCCCAGGGGAAGCCAATTTGCTGCGTTCTATTCCTCCGCCTATACTGAACCCCAAACTCATAGCTAAGGGAACTTAACGGTCACTAAAGGAATTTGAAAATATAGTAAGCGATAACTCACCGTTATATAAATAATTCAGTAACCCAAATCCATTATACAGGAAAGGCAGTGTTACAGCATTTCGCTAGCTGACTTAGAAAAACTAGGCCTACTAACCAAACCCCTAAAACTTGCCTCATCAGAATGTCCATCAAGAAACAAAGAAAACCTGAAATGGTTCCATACATGTCAATGCCTAAACTTTTTCTTCAGCACATCGTTACACATTGCCCATTTGGGGCCCGGCAGAGTGAAGGGAGGAGAGCCCTCCTCATCGAGCAAGCGTGCCTAGGTCAGCAGGGAGGATCAAGGCTCGGCGACCAGAACACAACCTGGAAAGTGACGTGTCGAGGGGAATTACAAATAAAGTGCCACCGGCGGTGTTTGCGGCCAAGTAGAAAAAAGCACGCTGAAATTTAATTATAAGTTTAGGCAACTTTCTAGCACATGGAACGTGCGTTTGCTTCGAGCTCCACGGAAGCGTCTCCAAGCCAAAGCAAACCGCCCTCGCGGTGAGCGGCCAAGGTAACGGGAAGGCGGCCGGCCGCGCCAATCAGCAGCGCCCAAGTCTCGTCAGCTCCGACCTGCCCGTTCGCGCCCAGGCCGGGCAGCTGTTGATCTCAGGGCCGTTTTTTAAAAGCCCAGAAAGAGAGCGGGTGGGGAGCGTGCGAGGGCCGAGCCCGGGCAGGGGCAGGGGAGCAGGCGGTAAGATCGTCCCAGGCAAAAAGTCGGAGAGCTGCAAAGTGGCGGGGACGGGCCGGCGGGGCTCGGCGCGGCGGAAGCGGGAGGAGAGGAGAGGGGAAGGAGGAGAGGGGAAGGAAGCGAGGGGAGGGGAGGAGAGGGACGGGGCCCGCGCCTCAAAGTTCGCGTCCCGGCGGCGCCCGCGCGCGCGGGGCTGCTCACCTAACAGGAGCGTGGTCCAGGTCCGGCCGCGCCCCGCGCGCCGCAGGCCCAGCGCCGCGCACCCGGCGCCAGGCGCCCCGAGGCGCCGGGCGAGCGGCCCGCGGGCTCGGCGCGGGCTCGGCGCGGGGCCCCTTCCTGCCCGCGGCGCCCTTGCGCCCTGGGGACGGGGGCGCGCGCTCGGGCCCCGGCTCCCCGGCGGCGCCGATGTCCGGCGCTCCCCTCAGCGGCGACTGCGAGGCGCGGGGCGGCTGGGGCGCCTTGGGAGCCGCCTCCCGGTGCTTGTTCCGCGCCTGCAGGACCATCTTGGCATAGTCGCGCCCGCTCGCTGCGCGCGCCCGGACGGCGGCCGAAGAACAGCGGGCTGGCGGGGCGGCCGGGCGCCGCTCACTCTCCTGCGGGCGGGCGGAGGGCGGGCCTGTCCCTCCCCGCGGGCGGGGAGGCGGGGAGAGCAGGAAGGCCGGGCGGCGGCTGCCTGCCTGGCGGTACGGCCGGGAGGCGGCGCCGGACTCGCGCGCCTGCCGCCGTTGCCGCCGCTCCGGTTGTCACGGCGACCGCAGAACGCCGGGGGGCGGGGGCGGGGACACCCTGCGAGCGGCCGCGGCCCCGCCCCCGCCGCCCCTCCGCGCCGGACGCGCGCTCTGGGACGGCCAACGCGCACGCGCGCACTTCCGGCGCGGGCGGGGCCCGACCCCGCGGCCGCCCCGCGACCCCAGCCTTGCTCTGGGCCCGCGCGGGGCTCCGTCGGGGCGAGGCCGCTGACAGCCTCCCGGAAGCGGCCGCCCCTCCCTCGTGGGAGCGACGAGGCAGAAGGAAGAGGCTTCTGGAGGCGGGGGGCGCCGGTGGAAGTTTCGGAGTCGGTTAAGGCTGCGCGGGGAGCCCGCGGGGGCGGGGGCGGGGCGGCCGGGCCCGGGAGGGCGTCGCGGGACGGCCGCGGAGGGGCGCTGTGCGCGACCTGGGCGCCCGGCCGCCGCGTCTCCCCTCGCCGCACTGAGTGCGGCCGCGCTCCTAGAGCAACGCCGCCGCGGCCCCTCGTTCTTGGGTGCGAAGAACCGCCACGACCCAATTTAAAATAACAGAGTATCTCGCGGGGCGCTGCTGGTCACGGTCGAGGCACGGGTGGAAACTGACAGCCGGCATAGGGGCCCCGGCCGAAGGTGTCACGTGGAACGGCCCGAGCAGGGAAGATTATTATCAACAAGTATGTTCAGTTCGTTGCACCTGCTGTAACCTTGTTGCTTAATAGAAAGCAAGAAAACTTTATGTGGTAATAAGACCGGAGACTTTCGTTGAAAACGTATTTTCTTTTCACGTAGCAGCAGAATGCGTGAGTAAATGAAACCCAGGAATATTCAAAACACGGGATAGATCCCAGTTATCCCTTCTCCTCTCCTCCTCCGCATTCTTTGCACAAAGCCCTAGGATTACAACCAAGAGGTTCTTTTCCTGGCTGTGCCCGGTGGGCTTCATCCAAAAAGTCTTTAAGTCCCAGTTTTGTAAATCAAGGCACGTCATGCTGCTTATTTACGTCGTAATTCCAGGGACTTCACGTGGCTGTGGGTTCTTACCCTTTACGTTTCTTTGCCCAGTGATTGCTTTATGAATACCACCATTCACTGTTACGGTCTTTTAAGGGACAGTGGATGCTTTCTAAAGGGAAAAAGTGTTTGCCATGCCAATTAATAATGCCTCATACTCTATGTTTTGTGAATTTCGATTTTCAGATGTCTTTATTGGAGCTGGGAACGACTGTTTTTGTTCACTGGTGTTTTAGAAAATGGTTGCAAGTGGGATACAGAGGGCTTGGAGTCTGAAACAATGTGTCAGATGAATCCAGTGTTACTTCTGAGATTAATGTTGAATTTATCCGGTTAAAAGAAACCTATTTCAGTGTCTATTGAATATAATAACAATTTGTTGATGGATTTTTAAAAACATTATTAGAAAGACTCATGGAAAAAGAGGTTCACCATTTGAACTAGTGGATTGCTTGTTTTTCTGCTGCTGTATGTGACAGGCCCTGGATTCAGGAACTGCCTCCCTTCATCTGATACCGTTTTACCAAACACTTGCTAAATGACTAAATGAGTGGATGAATGCAGGAGATAACGTAATCAAATGATCATTCATAACACTGTCTCCTGTAGTGCACTTGAAAGTTTTAATTCTAATCCTCTTCTTCCTGGTCTTGAATTTCTATGGCACAAGGAATCTCCTATCCATCAATTGTCCCTTGGAGCTGTGGTCTCCAACCCATGGCCGTGGCCAGTTCGGGTCAGTGGTCTATTAGGAAATGGACCTCACATCAGAGCTCCACACCACTGCCGCCAGTCCGTGGAAAAATGGTCTTCCATGAACCAGTTTTTGGTACCAAAAAGGTTGGGGACCACTGCTAGGGCCTGGCTATGAAAGTTTGTTGAACTGAATTGAAAGGGGAACATATGTGTAAGGCATACCCACTGAGTTTTTATCAGTTCCACCAGTGCTTCTTGGCTTGGCAACCATGTAGAGAACCCCAGAGATGGGCATTGTGGAATATTAATTTTTTAAAAATGTGATCAATTTGGGTCCAGGTTCCAGTCACTGCATTCACCCATACCAGTGGCCCTTACATACAATGTATGTAAAGTATCTAACAATTCCATCTATTAAAGTAATTGCTCAAAGAATATTTAAGGTAATTGTCTGGATTTAAGTAATTGCTCAATAAGTATGCAAAGTAGTGGGCAATGTATAAGAAGGATGACAAGCTCTTTGTCCTCCCAGAACCTGAGGCTGACCACCCATAATAGGGTGGAGCAAGGGGAGAATGTAGCCCAATGGAGGGCTGGAGAGCAAAGGCAGCCATGTGATCTTTGAACTGGTCCTGTGCTCCGTAGGCTTCAAGCTTCTCAGCTAACTGAGCAGTTGATGCCCCCTGAATGGTTGTCAGCGTTCCTCGCGTACTTTACAAATGATGCCTATTTTGTGGGTCCTTAAACCTGGATAAAATAGTAAGCAGTTCCTCTTGTCCCTTATCTCAAAAGAAGGACATTTTATACAGGAAGAGTGAAGGAGTAGAACCTAGAACAATCATGGAAAATTATATGCCAGATTTCATTTTATCTCTAGCACTATGAAATCCACAGAAGCAGGGAATGTAGTTAATTTATATCTGTATCCTCAGGCCAGTGCCTGCCACATAGTGGTGAATGCTAAATAAACAAACAAACAAACTGAAAGCTGCAAGCTGCATATTTAAAAAACTGTGCTGTACATGGATGATTCTATGAATCAATTTAAGGTTATAATGAATTTAAATTAAGCATTACGATTACCATCCTTAATGTGCTTCCCCGTCATGGTAGTTTCAGATGCACCAGAAATGTACTTCCTCTTGTGACACTGCAGAAATATCGAGCCTGGGCAGAATCTAAGAACAGGAACCTGAAAGAACAACCAGGCATAAAGAGTCACTGGTCTTGTACCCTGGGTGCAACCCAATCCTTTTCTCACTACAAACTATACTTTGGACATTGAAATAAAAATGTTTAATTAAAAACATAATATATCTTTTAAACTTTGGGCATGGAGATAGAGGAGATTATAAGGAAGAAATGAGCATAAAAAGGAAGAACAAAATAATAAAGGAAAACAATGAAATGCAGAAAAATATAGCTTAGTGATAGTAAAGTATAGAGGTCAGGAAATCATCAGCTGGGCAATAAAAAAAGTAAATTTGGTTAAGGGAAGACTGTGCTGGGAACCAGTTTTCTTATTTCTCCACATTGGCATTTTAAAGGCCCCATTTAGAATTTCTAAATGTTCCTCCTTTCCTCCCACTTGCTCTCCTACCCTTAGAGTGACAGGTACATAAGAAAGCTGTGGCATTTATTTCTCATTTCCTTGAACTAGGTTACTTGATCACTATAATCAAGAAATGTTCTAGGGTCAAGTTCTAGATTATGACAGTTGTCTTACTAAGCAGTTGCTCATACCAAAATAGGAATCTGCATAATCCCAGCACACTTCATACAAACCTAAAACGGGTGCAACAAAGTATGTCTGTGTAACATTCAACTTTCAGCAAAGCTCCAACATTAACTTGTCACTGTGTTATAATGTATTCCTTTAGTCTGGTGAGAACAAATGTAAATTGCTACTTTATTGCTCTTCAGATTTTATCTTCTGTCTTTCTTAGAGCTGACCTTGTAATTTAAACCGTTCATGCTCCAGTGAGTGTTCCTGAGAACTCAGAGAGTTCATTATTATAGTCCTAGTCACAGTGCATCATGAAGAACCACTGATACAGAGGGGCATGCCTCTCTCAAATGCAATTCCTGTTATTGAGAGCTTACTATATGGCCCTAGTGCTTTAGTAGATATTAGAGACATTACCAATTTATATACTAAGTCTCCATCCCCAAATGGCATAAAGTTTTGTTGGAAGGGCAAGCTTAAGCTAGAACAAAATATAGTTAAGTAGCAAAATGTGTGCTTCAGAGCATACATGCTAAAAGAATTCCAAGGAGAAAAGATGATGACTGACATGATTTGGTTTTCAGGGAGGAGGTGAAATTTGGTCTAGGGCAGGTTGGAAGGGTGGATTTTGTTTGAATAGAATGGAATGTGGAAAAAGAGTTAGAGAAAGGGAAGAGCACATTTCTAAAACCCTTGACTTGGGGCTGACACATAGTAGGTGCTAAAATGAACATCTTAAGTCCCTTTCAGAGGGAAGAAACACTAATGTAAGTTTGAGGAATAAATTAATGGATTAAAGAGTGAATAAATGAGGTAACTAATGAATGCAATATGAAATGCCCAGAGTGCCATGACCTGGAGCCTGGCTTTCAGAGCTCCCCAAATCTATCTAGACCAGAGCTGGCACAGAGGCCACGGCCACCATCAGGAAGGGGGAATGTGGGTGGCACCCCACAGCATCTGCTACCAATACCGTGCAGTGTCTCAGGGCCAGACACAGCATGGGTGCCTATTAAATCTTTGTTGGTTAATGATTGAATACATGATTAAATAAATTCATTAAATAGCAGAAAACAAGGTTAATTAGGTTAAATATACTGAGTGAGATTCAAGGCCCTAAAGAAGGACACATTTTTAATTTGGAAACAGGGAACAAGTGAAGGTTCCTGAGCAAGACACTGATGGGTTTTAAATAGGGGTTGAGGAACACTGTAGACATAAAAATGCTATAAGGAAGTAAACTCGCGGCATGTGGGCGTGGGCGGTGGGGATGGCTGAAATGATAGCAGGACTGTGGGCGTGGGGAGAAAGCTCAAGGCCTGGGAGGCTGTTGCTATAACCGGGAGGGCTGGGGAATGGCAGAGCTATAATAGAAAGTTGAGAGCATGACTGGACAGATAATGAGACCAACTGAAAGGGTAAACTAACTCTTTGGAAGATATGTCTGACTAGGTGTGCTTGATCTCATTCAAGCAAGGATTCACCATTTGAAACATATAGACTGTAAATTAGGTATGAGATCCACGAATGCAACGCTGCATCACAAATGCCCAGAGCAGCACCTTCACACACGACATGCATAGCACATATTTGTTGAAAAATATATGGATCAAATCTTGTTTGCCAGAACTCTAATACAGATTGCTAATGAATAGGAGATAGTTATGTCTATCATTTCAAAGTATTTATTATACATTTCTAAAATATACTTATTTTAGGTTAATCTTGCCAATATATTTAAAAACTAAGAGATCTAGTTGTTTTACCTACCAAGCAGGTCTTAATTCAGTTCACCTCAGTTCATGCCAGAAATCTTGGATTGTTCTTAGGAGTAAACAATGGAATAGCTGGAAATGGTTCATTGCCCTCTCCAGATGACCTTGAGCACACATTGCCCAGCAATACTGGAGGGAGTGAACACCTTTCTTCTGCCTGCCAAGAAGTTCCTTGATGTTACAGTGTCCATTTTGTAGCAGGCAGCAGGTTAGAGAAGAGTGGCAGGTAAGGAGTCTTCCACTCCTCGGGGAAAACTAACTGACATGGGTTCTAACACTTGGTTTTTGCACCTGGACAATGAGCATTGTGTCTGGAGGAGTCAAGGATGCTCTAGCAAGAGCTGAAGTACAAAGTACAATGAAATTGTGCGCTAGCATTGGCCTCTTGCTTGCAGAGGCCATATTGACTTCCTAGCAGTTTGGGGAGGAATGTGCTATATGGATTCTGTGCAGTCTCAGGAGGAATCAAGACCCAGTTGTCATTGGCCTGAGCTAGGGAGAGGAATGGAAGACAGAAGAAAAGAAAAGGTTTATCTCAATTCCTTCTCACCTGCCCCAAATGGCTTTCTTGATGGGTTCAGTGGACAAAAGAGGAAGAAGCAGCAGCATTAACTAAGCACACAGCCCAAAACTTCATCCTTGGTCCATAACAGCACATTTCATGGACTTCTACCCATGGTTTGGGGATTTCCTCCTCAGCATGGAGTGACTGGATTTGGGTGCAATGATGTTCATGATGCATTAGGGCCAATGGTTTTCTTGACACTGAGCCTGTCTCAATACTCACTTGTTCAAAGTGTGGAAATCAGAGAGGGTTAAGTGGTTCAAATGCTGTGTCTTTCCTTGTGCAATCAAAGTTTAGTTACACTTAAAGCAAAACAATTTTGTGGGCAAGTTGGCACTGACCAATCCATGGTTCCTGTGGCAGCTTACCATAGCACTACTGTTCACACCCACACTTGGCATTGTTCTTCCGCCATCTTCCACGATGAATTAAACACAACTAGGACTTTAAGAAGTTACCCATGGGGCACACACAATTCCTTCAACATCAGCTTTGGAGTTCTAATCTGAAATATTATTTTCTTCATGGGAATTAGGTTTGCATGGAGAATCTGATGTGAGTTACTTAATATGACATAGACAGCCATGTAATACAAGATGCAGCCCTCCACAGCAATCCTGGGCAGCTAGATCAATGCTTGGTCATCTATGCAGCCCACTCCAGCCAGAGCTGACACACAATGGCATGAAGACATTGGGAAGCTAAACTACAAGTTAAATGCAAATGTTTTAAAAATTACTTTGCTTTAATGCAACCTTACGTGTTCTGAATGTCTTTTCTTCTGGGACTATTTTTGACAAATGCATGCATTCCAGAAGCCATTGAGTGGTTCAGATGGTTGAGAGAGGAAGAGTATGTTGAGATGAGAGGACGACTGAGGGCTTTAGCAAGGGCAGCTGAGGGAACGGAGAGAAAATGCAGGGAGAGTAGGAAGGAGACGAGTTAGGGGAAGGGCCGCTCACTGAAGCTGGAGGCAGAGGTGACACTGATGTTTGGAGTCCCTCATGCAGCTGGGTAAGGTGCCCCAGGGAAGCTTCCCTGAAGCCCCAGGACAGACCCCCGCTGAACCCGAAGCCTGCCTCATCCCTGCTTCGTATCAGCTGGAGGTGCTTCTCCTTCACCTAGTTTATTTACTGAGATTCCAGGCACAATTTTATTTTAGAGATGGCACTGCTGCTATAAAAATAAAGTGAAACAAAATACCTAGGAAGCTTGCTTAAAATGCACTTTATCAAGCCCCGTCCCTAGAGAATGAGGACTTTGGGGCGGGGCTGTAGTCTGCATTTGTAGCCAGAGGATCGTGATACACACCTTGCAAAACGCTGGCCTGGACGCTGGTTTAAGGCTCATATAATCCAGTGAATCAGTTCTGGGTGTTTAGAGGTCGCACTCCCCAGTAGTTTAAGGGTTTTTATATTTTTCCTCCTGTTTTACATTTTTTAAGGACAAATAAATATTTTCTCAGATTCTTCTATTATTAATATTTAATAATCTATATACTTGTGAAGGATATATTCAGGAAAAGGATACAAATTTTCTCTGTAGAAATCATAGAAAAATAATACATTTTCAAAAAGTTTGGCCTTCATCTTTTTTTTTTTTTGAGTCATATTTTAGAGGAATAGCTACTGAATGCCCATGATAATTCTTCTTTAGTGGTTTAAGATGAATCTTGGAAGCAGGTCTTGAAAAGACTGCCAAGAACATGAGGTAGGTAACAATAGGCCATGTACTATTTATAAAACTTTGTTAAAAGGTTACACAGATATATTATTTTGGGATCTGTGGAGTTAGACTATTTCAGAGATTTGAGTCTTTGGGCCTTTTCTTGGAACCTGTAGCAGGGGGACAGAGGAGGTAACCACGGCAGCTCAGTGGACACCCTGAAGATCTGGAAGCATTAAAATGACCTAGAAGACTCTGGGAAATGCTAATGCCCAGCTGTCACTCCAGACCAACGAAAACAGAAAGGGAGGGGATGTGTACCTTTCAGATGGTCCTCAGGTGATTCTGCCAAATGGGGAGCTGCAGACCCAAAGCTTTAAGGAAAAATGAAATTACCTCTGTTCTTATTCCTTATGATATGGTAGATTTTTAAATATGTGTTGATTTCTCTTTACCCAGAGTCTGTACAGTAAAATGGAAAAACAAAGAGGAAACAAGCAATGCAGACTGTCACTCCAATCACAAGTCAAAAGAGGAAGTGGATTTCCCATGTCAAGGGTGGGACGTCGTCCCTGGCACTGGTCTCTATTTGAGCTCCCCTTTGTAACCTCTCCAACACTGAGCTCAGGCCAGGAATGCTAACTTAACCTGCAGTGCACAGTAGGTACACAGCACGAGATGGCAAGTGGTTTGAAACTTTAACCTGGGATGCTAGAGGTCCGCCTCCCAGAACCCTGCTCCTCCCCTCTTGCCTGACCCCAGCTTGGCTACAGCTCAGGCAACCTGAGCAGGGACTCCCCCTCCACCCCTCTTCCTGGACTGGCCAGAAACATAAAGGGCCTGAAAATACCAGATGCAGGGAGGTAGAAATGAACCAAGGTGGAAGTCCGAGAGCCAGTGAAGAGGGTCATGAAATATTTTGGAGAAAACCTCTTTGTACCAAATCTCATTTTTCCTGGAGTTACCCAAGCACAAGACACATTTCAGGAGCCAACTAAGGAAGAGGCTCATGGAATTTTAAGTGTGATTTATACAAAAGAAATCCAGTCTTAGCCAACCTATGTACTTAATGTATGGGTGTAATTCAGTGCAGTAATGATACATTTGTTCTTTATTCCCAAAGACAAGAAGACTGATAAAACATCAAGGAAAACCCTCAGAAAAGGGAAAAGCCTCACAATACCAAACAATAACAGCTACTACAAAACTGGCTTTTACCAGGTCCAGGCACTGTTCTACGTTTTCACATATGTTACCTCGTTTAATTCTCACAGCAGCCTACAAGGTGCGTATTTTCATTCTCTCCTCTTTATAAGGAAAAGAACACAGAGAGGCTGAGGGACTTATTCAAGGTCATAGGGCTAGTTGGGGGCGGAACTGGGCTGTGAAGCTAGGCGGGCCACTGTGCCTAACCCTTGAGATGGAAAACTCATATAAAAGACAGGCACCATGAGTTGTGGTTTCCCTTAAAAGCTAAAAATTGCTTCCTTGAAAATGAAGGCCAGAAGATCCTGCGGTCACAGTCCATCGCAAGAAAGCATCTTCAGGGCAGCTGAGTGTGGCACATTATGGGGACTAACTTGCATTCTCTTTAATTAAAGGAAGATGTTTGCAGACTTTGGGACTCTATTGTTGGTCACAAATGGCTCGCACCACTGGGGACAGCCCATTGCAACACCCAGTGTGTTGCAACACCACCATGGCTGGGAGCCACCAGCATGGCAAATAGACCCGAGCAGAAAGATACTGGGGTACCTGTGTTGGCAAAGGTAGCTGGAAGGTGCATAAACCCAGACACTGGCAGTGTATGGCAGTACCCCCCACCCCACCGGCTGATAGCCTTCCTGGAAAAGTGGGCAGGAAAAGTAGCCACTGGCAAACCAAACACATCACAGTGTTGTGTGTGAGCCTGAAGAGATCAGCTTGGGGGCATTCTGCTGTCACCAAGACTATAGGACATAAGTTTCAGAAGCCACAGCATTTGCTGCATAAGATTAAATCACTTCTGGCTGAGAATTTCTCACTTTAAAAAAAGCATATTACAGGTCATGGGGGAGAGAATGACATCACTCAGGACATTCTGTGCTGCTTCTACTTAGGCATTTTAGTCCCTTGATCCTCTAGGTCAGCTATGTGACTCTGATCAAGTCACTAATTGTTACTGTGAGGAGATGAAAAATATGATTCCCTAACTTCCTTTCAGCTCAAAAAATCTGTGATGCTTTGATTAAAATGAGACTGGTATATAATTCTGATTCCCTTTTAGAAGGGTGAGCTCTGATTGCTAGATTTTCACTGCATATTTTCTTCCTTTCTTCAATATTCTTCCAACAATCCACCCCCAAATAATTTTCTTTTTCATTTTAAATGAATAGACTTTTCATGAGCCTTAGTGTGTTTCTGGTTCATAGACACTAAGACATAGATACTTGTATTCAATCCGTATTAGCAGTATTTGTTCATAAGCCTAACACATATCTGTATATCCAAATACTGTGTCTATAAACTTCTCTTGATCATTATGCTTTCTTTTTTTCTATTCCAATCCCACCTAAAATGCATGCTGTGATATTTCATTAAAAGGAGGAAATTGTATTGGAGAAGTTTGTTTTGAAACATCAACATGTGCCTTTTGGTTACATTTCAAATTATCAAGATGGACTTAAAAGACACAACCCCATTTAGTGTGTTAATTATCACAAGATTCTTAAAGGACACCAGAGCTCTAGGTGGTTTTGCTATTTAAGAAATGTGACTGTAAAAACTTTCGTTCATAAACCCAGCGTGCACTGAGTATTTGCTATGGGTCAAGAAGTGGATTTGCTCTTGAGGATAAAGATGAACAAAACAGAGTCCTGCCCTTAAGTCTAGTAGAGCAGAAAAACGTGCAAGTAGGTTGTAGCAGCCACCGTGTGGAATGGCTCTTCCTCCGTCCCTTACACCCTCCCCACCCCTCCCCCTCTGTGCCCAGGAGGCTGCTGCAGAGTTGTATTATGGGACTTGACCCTGAGTGGATATTGACTCATGCAGGGCCAAGGATATTGTCTGTCCCAGTAATTTGGGCCTATGACTAAGAGGTCTAATTTAGTCTGGGCAAAGCAGGTGAATAAAAGACTCAAAACCAAAAATGACGGAGCAGCCACTTCTGCTTGTCATGCCAGCTGAGAATGGAAATAATCAGTCTGCACAAAGAGTAGAATGCAACAGGCACAGTGAGAAGTGGGGGGCAGGGTGGGGGGAGAGAAAGACTGAGAGGCTGGTTTCCCACCAGTTGATGGTTCCAGACCCTCTCAAGGCCCAGCCACCCTCCAACTCTCCAGGGCCTGAGGTGCCCTTCACTTCTCTTTTCTGTTTACACCTACTCACATTGTTTTTTTTTTCTTTGCAACCAAGAGTTCTAACTAATAAATGAGTACAATTAATTGTTATTGATATGACAATTGAAGTGAGTACAGAACAAATGTTTACCTATCTTATTTATTAATATATATAGTATTTATATTAATATATAAATATAATAATATTTATTAAAATATAAATAAACATGTCAATTGTATGCGATGATGAATAGGCCAATGACAACTCATTTTGTTCCTAAATTTTTCCACTGTAAACTTTCCTTCGCGGCAGCATTTGCGAGACATCAAGCTTTGTCACTGAATGTAGCAAGATGTATGGCAATGGTGGGCAACCGGACTTGATCAAGAGCAAATTCAGGAAAAAACAAAAATGCTTACAGGCTGTATTTCTCTTTCATTTAAAATGGCTTTATTGTTGCGCTCATGGAGGAAATTATAATTTTACAATTCAGGTGATTTATTTATTGAAGTTCTCTTTACCAATAAGAAAACTGTTTTTCAGCCTCTGAAAGATATAATGTAATCCAATTTAAGAATTAGTAGTGCCAGACAGCTTTTTCTAATTGTTCATCTCTTTTGTGTGGACAGCACCTCAACATTCACACGAATTCATCTGCATTAGTCCCAATTATCCTCCCATCCCTCCAAAAAAAAATTGAGCCCAAGAGGTATTATTGGCCTCATTTAACATATGAGAAACTGACACTCTGTGGAAGTTTCAAAGCTTGTCCGTAGATTCTTTGACACTCTTGCCGTCAGGCAGAGGGACCTATATGGCCTCCCTTGGAACATGTGCAGCACTGCTGACTCCATGAGTATAATATGATGGAAGTGACCCTGTGTGACTTGCAGTTGACTTCTACCTGTCTTTCTCCTGGGACGAGTGCCTTTGGAGCCTGCGCCTTCATGGAAGAAGTCCTGCTATCCTGAAGCCACCATGCTCGAGAGGCCACATGCAGGGACAGCACCATGATAGGGAGAGGTGCCTGAGGAGCCCCAGATGTTCCAGGCCCAGCTGTTTAGGCTTTCCCAGGCCAGGCACCGAACAACATGAATGGAAAGGCCTTCAAGAACTCTAGTCCCAGCCACTGTCTGACTGCCACTGCATGAGGACCAAAAACTGCCTAGCTGAGCACAGTCAACCCCAAAGCAGTGAAAGATAATAACATTAAATGCTTGCTGTTGTTTTATCCCACTAAGTCCGGAGTGGTTTCTTGTGCTGCACTCTTTAAGAGAAGTAACTTTCCAAGATCACTGAGGAATTTCCTGGTGGAGCTGGGGCTTGAATCAATTCATTCCAGTCAATGCAGCATTCACCAGACAACTCTGTTAGGCCCTGGAGACCAGGGAAGGATGGGGTACAGCCCAAGCCTCTGCCAGTCTAGGCCTCCTCCTTCCACCTGCATCTCTATGGCAGCTCTTCCTCACTGTGGGTGACCAGGATGGATGAGACTCACCGCTGCTGGGTTCCAGAAGGAACTGCTGCCAGGACACTCCAGCCATTCCTCTGCCCCATGCTGTGTGCAGGTGGCCCTGACAGCAGGAGGTGGTACCAAGCCTGATGCCGACCTTGGCTTTCTCATCAGTCCCGCTCTGATGAGTTGATAGCTTGTGTTTGAAATCGAGGGCAGGCAGTATTGCAAAGGTAGGTTGGTGCCATACAACCGCCTGCAGAGCGTTGCTTGGTTCTGATGAATTACACCCAGTGCCTGGCCTCACAGTCGGTTGGATCTTCAGGAAAAATATGTGTTCTGGGTGCCAGCTGATCTTTTAGCTAGTTTCTGTCCTAAGGTGAATAGTACCTGTGAAAATTCTAAATTTTCATCTGCTTCCTCTAAAGAGATTGATGAAAGACATAAAATACATAAAAGTCATTGTTGCTTGTAAGTAATGAGCTTAGGGCTACTGGGTGGCTGGCGCTCACCCAGCATCCTGGACTGTGCTGCAGGGGGCGCCAAATACACGGACCACCAGGCGAAGGGCGCCCAGACTATGGCTGCACTAAGGTTTTGCCATTTTCGTTCCTGAAATACAGGTAACTCATTTTCATATAACATCCATATGTTTCATAAATTAAGCCAAAAAATGTTTGCCAAGTATTGATTTTATTAAATATCCTTTTTTTCTAGGAAACAAAAAGAGAGCCAGCTTATTTTTGCCTGTCATGAAATCAAAGATCGATTAAATAATCATTGTCAAATTTAGATTTTTTAAAGGTTTCCTTTATTCAAGGAATTCCTGTACAGTTAGAGGAAGAAGAGAAAAGGGAGAGGGAAGGGAGAAGAGGAGGAAGGAGGAAGGCAGTGAAGAGGAGGAGAGAGGAAGAGAGAAGGGAGGAGAAGAGTATGTGTGTTGGGAGTAAGGAAAAGGTGCCCAAATGGTTAACCTGGGCTATTATTTTGCTTTTGGTTTAAAAAAAGATGCCATTGCATCAAATTAGGCAGTAAGTAATCGTGAAGCAGGCAGAGCCAGGCATAAAGCAGATTTTCCTAAATCATCTTTCACAGAACACCAATTCCCCAAGATGTTAATAAGCATTTCCAAAGAAAGATGTCTATTTTTCAGATAAGTTCGGAACAGGCTGCATCTCCACTCCTGGTGATTCACCATTCATTTTAGCATGTTGAAGGCTCTCTGGAAAGCGCTTGGGTAGAAGCAACACAAAGCACACCAAACTAAAAGTTTGACTGACTTTGTTTTAGCCTGACGCCCTCCCCCCCCCCGCAAATGGTGGAACCTGTTTATTTAAATCACCAATGAACACAGCCCATGGGACACAGTGGCAATCCAATGACCAATGACGGATGTGTGACTGTAGGGTGGTCCCTGCCGGCTCCCTGCTAGGTCCTAGCTGGCCACAGGAGGTCACAAGACTCCAGTCAGGCTCTCTGGCATCCTGTTTTTTGGTAGAGAGAGAAACTTCCAGATTGAGTGTGAAATGAAAGTCACTTTCCCCTTGCACCAAAGCAGTGGAAACCCCGGCATGCCGTCACACCGTGAAGCAATTTTCAGCCCTGTAGTGCCTGGGGCCTTTGCCGATTTGCCATCTTCCTGCCCTTTCTGGATAACATTATGACCTTCCTCCAACTTCTGTTCTGTTTTCACAGCATGCAGTGGCCCCTCTGGCTAACCGCCCAGACCCCCAGAGGACACGCCAGGTGAGAAAGCAGAGTTCCGGAAGTGCCCGTCTTCCTCCTGGCTCTGGGGCTCATCTGAATGCAAGAGGAGCAGAGCCGGACGGAGAGAGGCCCCTGATGGGGACTGGTTCTGCTGTGAACATTTTGGTCCTGTCCCTGTGCCCTTCAACACCTCTCCCCTACACTGCCCCGTGGTTACACAGACACTGAGCCTCAGCTTCTTCCTGTCTCAGGAAGAAAGGAGTAAATGACATATTTGGAATGTTAAGCATAGCGCCTGACCCCTGATAGACGCTCAATAAACGGTCATTACACACTGTGACTGCTCTCGCCTCATCTTCCTGAGGCCTCTCCTTGCTGAGGGTACAAATGAGGTCAGCTTAGCGGGACTGTTTCAGTCTCACTGACTGCTTGGCCCCGCCGGCACCCATGGGCCTTCACACCTCCTCCACCTGGACGCTCCAGGCTAGCATGTCCGGGACTCACCTGATGGTGTCTCACAGGTGTGTGAGAGCAAGCTCGCTCCCTGCAGTCCTGCCTGTGCCCCACCTGTCATCAGAGGGCTTAACACCGGCTGTCACAGCTCTGTAGGGTGCAGGAACTCACCCCGGCTCAGCCGGGCACGGCGAGTCCCTGATGGTGGCCGTGGCCTCTGTGCCAGCCATCTGCTCTGGTGTCCTGAGATCAACCTGTGCTGTGGCCCATGCGCGGCCGCTCTTCGTGTTACTGGCTGTTGGAGGGGGGCCAAGTAGGGCTCCTTGAAGCTTCCTGTGATGGAACTTACTGACAAAGTTATTATTTTTAAAAATCTAGTCTTTTTTTTTCTCCCTAGGAAATGAGCCAGGCTGGGGACAGGAGCGAGTAACTGCTTTCACGCTGAACTCAGAATCTCCACCCTCTTTGGCAGTGAAGCCTGTTACTGGGTCCAGCGTGCCGCCCTGGCACCTGTTCTCTGGGAGGGGTTGTCCTGTGGTGGTCTGTTCAGTTCCCTGCAAATAGCCCCATAGTGGGCCCGGCCTTAGTCCTCTTCCTGGAGCCTTTTCTGCCCGTGCCACCTGCCCTCCACCTGCTGGCCTCTTAGCCTCCGTGGCCTGCCCTGGTGCTGTTCCACAGAAGCAACCCCGTCTGCGTCTCTGTCCCCTCAAAGAACTGGCCATTGTAGACGCCACAGGTTCCGCCTGGCACCTGCTGGCAGCTCTCTGCCGCCATTGCCAGGACACAGCTCTTTCCAGCCCAGAGTGACAGTTCTGGCAAATGACCCTGGATAGCCTGGCCTCTAAGCAGGATGCAAAGAAACCAGTATATGGTGAGCACTGACCATATGCTGGCATGGTGTCTAGCCGTCACTCTCACTGCTGTACAAGGATTCCCCTTCCATAAAAGGGGGTGACAGGAGCCTCCTCTGCCCGAGGCGGGAGTCAGACCTCAAACCCAAGTCTGGCTGAACAAATAGTCCACCCTTCCCAGAGACTTGCTGTCTCTTTGGTCCTTAAGGGAATCTTTGCTGTTACCATCACACCTCACTGTGTCAAGACAGTCACACGAAGTCCCTCAGGAGCTGGTGACTGGACGCTGCACCGTCTGACCAGCATGCTCCTCCCACACTGCCTCCAAGCTGACCAGGAGCCTGTCTGGCGTTGCCCATGCAGTACTCTGGCACCTTTCTGCGGGGCTGCAGTAACCGCCTGTAGTCCCTCTTTCATTATGTCTCCTTATCCTGAGGTCTAAAGTCCTGATAATCTCCCCCAGTGAACCCCTGGTTTCTCCAATGGGCCTAGGTCCCCAAGGGCATGGGACCCTCAGTGGCCGGCCTTGCCATCCCTGGACCTTCCCAGGTGGGCGTGCTCCCAGGGAGCATTAGCTCGGAGAAGCGCCTGATCAGTCCTGCCCATTTCGCCTAAAAGCCACAGCAATAGACTCACCGTGGTGACCTCCTATGCCAGAACCTCACCCTCAGCAGAACTCCTATTGCTCTCAAAGGTGGCAGTATGAAGAACTGCTGGAAATTCCCACTCTCCTGGCACCCTGCTTATTGACCACATAGCCGCCTCCCTGGGTAGAACCACTGGGGAATGTGCGGACACCACGCATCAGCCATCATGTTCTTATTCAGAATCCGCTCTGTGCCCACTGAGTGCCAGGTGCAGAGTGAGAGTCCATGCAGAAATATGAGGCATGGTCCTGTAAATAATTTGCAATTAACCAGGAAGATACATTACACAGGAGAATGAAGGAACAGTGGTAAGTATACACCGGAAGTGAGAACGTTCTGTGGCTTCCCTCACTGCCCCGCTCTTAGCCCTGCCAGCTCAGCCCAGCCCCTTGCTGACCTCAATTGCACCAAGTGACTCCTGCCTAAGGGACTTGTCCTGCTAATTCCTGCCACCTGGAAATTATTCTTCCAGACCTTGCCAGTGCGCCGTCCCTCGCTTTGGTCAGTTCTCCACTTCAATGTCCCCTTCTCAGAGTGCCATCCCCAGGTGGCTATCTCTAACATAGCTCCTTCTCTTATTAGGTCCTCTCGGCTCACTTTAGTTTTTCTTCAGAGCTCTTATCACTGCCAGATATGCCCCCTCATATTTATTTATTTATTGCTCATTGACTGTCAGGAGTGGTGTCTGTGGTTCCCGGCAGTATCCCCTGAGTCCGGAACAGTGCCTGGGCCTGGGATAAACCACGCTGAGGAAATGAGGGAATAAATGAGGACACGGATGAGTGAATGAATGAATGAACAAATGAGATAGTGTGTACCTCTGGTAGGATATATATAATAATGAGGATAATGATAGAAATAACACGATTTTATATTTTTATATCACTCAGTCAATATCCAAAACCGTGTACATGCGTGAGAGTTGTGTACTGTGTGGGGTGTGTATGTGTGTGTGTGTGTTGTTTGTGCAAATCCATTCAATTGATCATTGTGCAGGAGAACAAACTCAGACCCTACAGTCAGAGAAGTCTTGCTTCACAGTGCTGCTCTGTCACTTGTTAACCATAAGACACTAAATATGTTCCTCAACTTCTCTAAAACTGGGTTTCTTCATCTGTAA